TTGGGATGGGTATATCTGGTGAGAATGGATAGGACCAAATACAGTGTTCTGTAGGAGAAAAATACAACCCCTAAATACTTGCATGTATTTTCTCACTTGCTATTGCAAGAAGACACATTATTTTTCCTAGTCTTCTTAAAGCATAGGTTTTCATGGAGACAGTCAGGGAAGAAGGAGAAGTAGAAGGAATTGTACAGTTTTGAGAGTTAAATAGGATAAAGTGCTGATTAAGAAATCTATCAGAAATCCTGCTTCTTTCTTGTCAGGAAGCAGTCTGGAGATAAACCTCTTAGCCAAGACTCTACCTGTGTGTTACCTAGATAGGATCACAGAACATGGCAGGTTCAAGACTCAGGCTACAGTCCAGGCTTGTGCTTTTCCATATCACTGATCTTCAGTCCTAAACTTGATATTCTTCCAGCAAAATGTGGTATTTCTTCTGAATGGAGAAAAGTGAGTAAGGAAAATCACTTAAGTGCAAGAAGTCTAGTCCACAGGCTAGTGGGGCTTCAGTCTCAGCCCTGACATTCATTACAGTTGTGTGATTGTCGTAAGCTGTTGTTTTTCAGGATGCGTAAGCTTTTCACTGGTATGTTATAGGACTTATTTTAAAGCTGATCCAAATTCTAAGATTTGATGTCCCAAGGAAATAGATCTGTGGTCCAAATCAAAGATACTCAGGTGTGTGAAAAAAAAATAAACACTTTATAAGTGGAGTGGTTAAGCAATAATTTTAGAGAATCTTATTCCAAAAAATGTGCTGCTTTTATATTGACATAGCACTCCTGCTAATGTGCTAACTGAAGCCTTAGATTATGTCAACATCCAAGTGGTTGTGAACTTGTGTCTGTGAGTAGTGTGATTTCTACAGCTCTGGAGAAGAACTGGATATAAGTCATCACTGTTGCTTTCTTGGCAAAATCCCATCTATTTTTGTGCCGAGTTGTTGTTTCTGATCTCTTTCTGGGGATCTAGTTAACACTCAAGACTACACACAGTACTGTATGGAACTGTTTTTTTGTTGTTGTTTCTTATGAACAGAGAAAGGCATAGATGACCAGACATACGGTGTTCTTGCTGTATTGGGCTAGTATCTTCTTCATACGTTTTATAACAGCATGGGAGGACAGGCTTCTGTTCTCATCTGCCAAGGTATTATGGTACTCTGCTGTCACTGCACACTTTAGCCAGGTCACCTTCAGGGGATTTGCTAGTACAAGTTCTGAACACTTCAGCTTTTCCTCTTATGTTAATTTTGTGAGCAAATTTTCAAATTAGGAACTTCTCCATGGAGTCTTTCTGATGGTAGTGGAGTAGTATCTACAAGAAAATGTCACTTGTTCAATGCAAGTTCAGTGTTCATTGTTTAGGAGTTTGAAAGTTCTCTTTTCTCCCTTTCTATTCTCTGATATTGTTACTATTCTTTGTAATTTTTCCCTTATTTTTAGCCCCTTCTGCAGTCGCAAACCCATCCTCTAGAAAAGAAGCACAGAAGTCTCTGTATTCAATGATGGTGCATACTGGATTAGCTGCAGGAATGCTGCACATGCGAGAATGTTTCTGCTCTTCAAGGGCCTACCTGCTGCTGGCTGGGGTGGTTTTTGAGGGATTTTTTTTGTTGTTCTGTTTTTCTTTTCTTTTAGTCCTACACTGGTTGTGCCTTCCCTGGTCTACTTTAACCAGAAGACTAGGTAGAACACTGATAACACTCTATCAGAGTTAGGGTTTTTTGCTTCTAGCATGCTGGTAGCTCATTGTTAAACACATTCTTTACCTCAATTTTTGCCAAAATATGGAATGTAGGTGTAAATCCTGTTTCCCATAAAATGTAAGAGAATGGCAGCTGCTGTCAGTTGTGTATTCTAAATGTTTTTGAAATATGCCAAGTGAACTTCTAAGCAATCTGGAATAACAGGCTATGTATAATGACTTGTTTCTTGGGAGCCTTGCAAAATGTCATGCTTAGATGTTCTCCCAATGGGAAAGTCAACTCAATGAACAAAAAATACAAGAGTAAGGAGATGGCTCGGCTCTGATGTTCCAGTAGTTTGGAGGAAGTGTACATTCCATTTTGTAACTGCTAATTGAGCCTGGAGTTTGCCTAATTTTAATACTTGATCTTACTGCTAAATCACAGAATCAGGTCATGTTGTAAAGGTCCACATTGGATGACTTGGTCAAACCTCCCTGCTCAAGCAGGGTCATCCTAGAGCACAGGGCACAGGATTGTGTCCAGATGGTTCTTGAATATCCCCAGTGTGGGAGGCTCCACAACATCTCTGGGGAATTGTTCCAGTGCTCAGTCATCAACACAGTAAAGAATGTCCTCATAATCAGGTGGAATTTTGTGGGCATCAGTTTCTGCCATCTGCCTCTTGTGGTATTTTGCAGCACCACCAAGAAAAGCCTGGCTCCATCCCCTCGACACCCTTCTGTCAGATACTTCCAGACATTGATGGAGTGCCCTCTGAGTCTTTGCCACCCTAAACAGGCCCAGCTTCCTCAGGCTATTCTCATAAGTGAGGTGTTCCACTCATCTTTGTTGCCCTCTGCTGGACGCGCTTCAGGAGCTCCATGTCTTTTTTTGTTCTGAAGATCCCAAAACTATTCTACCCCAGGTGCAGGGCCCTGTATTTGCCTTTGCTCAATTTCAGAAGGTTCCTCTGCCCATCCCTCCACTCCACTGAGATCTTTCTGAAGGGCTGCACAGCACTCTGGGGTATTGACTGCTCCTCCCAGCTTTGTTTCATCAGTGAACTTGCTGAGGAGGCACTATGCCAGCCACCACTGCAAAAGAGAGTGATACGATAAAGTCGGCTCTAAGCATATGTACTATAATTCTATTATTCGCTCTTTACATACTCTGCCAGCTTTGCCACTTTAGGACCTGGACCAAATGTGGAAGTTAGAAATCTTACAGTTTTATACATGTCCAAGTTCTAACTACTCTCTTCAAATACTAGACTAAATTTTTATAAAATAGAGATTTATGAGACCTTCAGGTAAAACTCAGTTAAAACTCTGGCAACAAAGTCAAGTATCACAGCCTTAATTATTCTGACAGTAAATACTGTAACATGTTAAGCTTACTAATAAAGATTTTAGGAATTTAATATATCTTGCAGTCATCTAACTTACAATTGGGCATTGCATGACTTTTTGAGTGGATACAGAATTGTGTTGGAAGTGGATTCAGTACAATACTCAATGCCAAACTTTTTATCTTCATGTGCAGTGGTTTGAGCTTTTCCTGTTTAACCATTTCAACAGCAGTAATTCTTGGAGCTACCTTAACTAAAATGGGCTTTAAAAACCTGTATTGCATCTCTGGCTTTTGAAAATTCCTTGTTTTGGTCAGATACCTGTAGGCATCACATTTCAATCCAGTAATAAGCTATAAAGAGAGCCTATATTTCAATAAGGGAATACCTCAACATAAAGAACTGTGTTCTTTAGTCTTCAGAAAATTCATATGAATAATCTTAGCAACAGACTTAGTACTTGCCTGAATTCAGTTATGTTTCTGGTGGACCTATAAGTCTTCATTAGCTTATTTACAGAATGACATATTAAAAGACTAGTAGGTTTTATTTTAAGATGTTAACATGATTTGATTTGCTGGTTTCAAGTGTTTTGCTGGCAATTTAAATAATAAGTAAATTTGAGTATTTATTTTATCTTCTTATCACCATACTGTGGCACCTGTCTGAATTCAGGGTTTGCAGTACACTTGGCTCTAGATCTTTGGCATATTTTTCGTGTGCCTTAGTACCATCATAAGTTGACCTACTTCAAACTCACACAGCACATGTTCCTCCCTTCCCAAATGAATTGTCAACGACTTACCTGTCCTTGGAGGATTTTTCAGTCACTGTGGTGTTTACCTGTCTCTGTACTACAGTTTAAGGGTGACCAGCCAACCTACAAGCTGCACTCAGCTTTCAGCCTGCACCCACAACCAGCCCCTGGCTTTGGCTATGTTTGTGAAAACATACAACTTGAGAACTCTTGCGTGCAGATCACAGCAGTGTCCACATAAAAGCACTAAGCTAGCTGGTCCACAGTGAGGACATTCTTACCTTCATTGTAAAGGCTATCCCCACTTTGTTGCTAAGTTTAATTGTTAGTTTGTGTCATTAAACACCTTTCATGCTGTGAACCCATGCCCTGGCTTGCCTCGGTCTTCAAAGAATGTGGTTCCCTACCTTACTTGCTGATTTTACAAAGAGCTTTCCTTCCCTGCCTTCCTCCTTTACTTTCTGTTTCTCCTTTTTTTTTATTTTTAATGATACCATGTTGTTGTGCCCTCCAACTAATTAATTTTGTTTCTCAGCTTTTTAGAATCCATTACCAGTTTACCACGTTTGTTTCTTGTATAGAGTTACCAATAAAAGCAGCTGGCAAATAGTTTTCCTTCTGTGCTTCAGATGGTGACATTCATATGGTAAAGATGGCTTCAGCTGTTTGATCCCCTTGCCTTCAGTGTCCCTTAGAGGCACATTTTGATACTAAAGAGCAGCCTGAGCCTAGCAACGCCTTTCAGCAGTTTAGTTACATTCATCTGTGTCTGTTTCAAATTACTGTGGGTTTATTGCAGTAGGCAATTTTGCAAAGATTTTGCAGCAAGGCTACAAGAAAACAATGCAGTTAATAGAGAAGTCTTTTTTTTTTTCATTTCCTAAAAAAATATGAAAAAATACAGGGGTATAACATGCTCCCATATCACCCATATAATTAATACAATTGATGAGAGTCTCAGTTTTTATAGTTATCAGTTGTAGATTCCTCCACAGCTGCAACTACTGAATTCAAGTATCGGGGTAGGGAAGATACAAGAATCCCTTGATCTCAGTGACAAAGTGACTCTTGAGTAAATTAAGAACTCTGTTACAAAAAATCAGGAAAGCAATCCTTTGTTTCATTCTCTGATGTGAAGTAACATTGTATAACACCTCAGTGTTTATTTGAAGGTGTTTCTCATTAGCCTCATAATGCCACAAATACATACAGTACAATGAAAGCAGTAGTAGTTAATGCAAAATTCCAAGGACTAAAAGACACATTACAGAAGGCTGCTAAGTGAAGGCTTAATAAAGAAAATGTTAATATGTTAATATTTTACTTGTAAAGCAGTTACAAGGAGTTGCATAACAAAAACAGTGCTTTGAATTTGCATATCTTGTTCTTCTGCATTTATTTCTAGACATGTCTAGTTGAGCACAATATCATCATATGCAATTTTACACTTCAAAGATGTACAATAACATTGCCCATTTTCAAACTGATTTTTTGGCAGAATATTTGTGTGTTTTGTTTTCATTGCTGACTTTGCAGCATGTTTCTTTAGTTTGAGAAAACCCATTCAAAGTTTCCTTTAATGCCATAAAGTTTATAGGCCATGTTCAAAATATGAAACACTTTTAAAAGTGCAGTTAAAATCAGGGCTTTAATTTATTAAAAATTCACAAAGGTTAAAAACCAAAAGGCTAGATTCTCAACAAAATATATTTTATAATTGTTTTTATTTGAATTGAGCTATAGTGATTTATCAAATTGAGGATCTGGCCTTTCCAATATAACATTAAGATAAACCTTGCTGTTAAGAATTATTTGTTCAAAGACAGCAACTCCCTTCAGAGGATAATAATAATAATACTGAAGTTTACCTATTCACTTTTAATAGCATGTTCACAGAACAGAATGAAAGGCCATTCCAGAAAAGCAGACTGAATAATGAAATCTAATTATTGTAAATCAAGGTATATTTATATAATACAGTTCTTTTTGTAGGTCTGTACTTGAAGGAATAGTATGAAATGCAATCAAAGTAAACTATTACTACTGCTTTGCTCTACTAGAGTTCAGTTCTGCACTGTCTCCAAGTAGGTAAAAGCAGCTATATGCTGCTGGCTTTAAATAAAATTTAAAAAGTAAAAAAATTAACTTGAAAGTGTTGCAGCCTAATATGGCCAGCCTCCTTTTCAGTGAGTTTCAAGACATTCCAAATTTTTGAACATTTTTCAGCTGTTTACTCCTGAACTGCTGATTATGAAAACTATTACTCCTATTCTTAAAAATATGAGAATTCTTATGTAGGTGGTTTGGAACAAGAGTAAGATACAAACAAATTTGATAGCAAACCATAAAGAGGCAAGAGTAAACTGTCTCATGTACCTTACGTTACAAAGGGGTGTTTTAGCACAAAGGTTATATTCCTTGAAGTTTTGGTCACAGAAACTACTGAACTTTCAACACTGGTTGAGAATTGAGTACAAATAGGATGCATTCAGATGCAGCAGCAGCAACAACTTATTAATGGATTTTTTTGGTCAGGATCAAAGCTTCATTTGTCCCCTGAGCCAGGGTGTCCATTTATTAGTTTTACTTTGCTGTGAAGGATTTTAGTAGGAGAATGTGCAAAATAATTGTTTGAACCTCTTGTGAAGAAAAAAGCAAAGAATATTCATAATATGTCTGAAGGCAAATGAGCTCTACAAAAATAAGTTTTGACTGCTTCACCAGTGGCTAACAGTAATGCATCTTCAATCTTGTTTATGAGACTACTTTGAAATTTCACATTTTAGGAAAAGAACTATTATCCTTTCCAATAAATAATTATGGAAATGTACAAAGTAAGGAATAATTATGTACAGCATTGATAAAACAACCACCGTATTGGATTAATGAAATATAACAGCAGATACTACCTTTCTTTAATGTTATGTCTTACAATTAGTAATAGCTTGTTTTGCTTACATCTTTACTTACACAATTGCACAGTTCCCTTTCTTTGGATTATTTATTTAGGCTGCAGACCACTTCCATTTTTCATCTGGTGAAAAGATGTCATTCCAGACTGTGTAAGACTTTACATCATCTGGATCCTTGCTGCCCTGAAGATATTTCAGCCTGCCAGAAACACAGCCTCATCAGAGTCCTTGCCACTGTCTTCACTAGGCAAGCAGCCACCCCCACTTGGGGACCTACAGCTTAAGTCCTCCACACCAGACTCCTGATCACTGTTGGCTGAGAGGTCAGGATCAGAGCTTTTCAGGTTGTCCTGTGTCAAAATCAGGGCGGAATCTTCATCCCCTTGAGAAGGGCTCCTGGATGGGAATGATTTCAGATCATTGCTATACTCCTGGGGAGTGTTAGCTAAGCTGTTGTTGGAAGTATACAGTCCAAACTGTTTGCTTTGGTCCTGTTGCTTACTCTTGACTTTATTATTACCTGATTGTGATTTCTGAAGATTTGCCAATCTCTGAAATAAAGGAAACAGGATAGATCATGTGGACAAATATAGGGCCCAGAAATCCTCTTATATAGCCTTGCTTTTTTTCTTTTTAAATAAACTTTTAGAGACCAACCCACCCTTTAAAAGTGACTATTTGCATTTATGGAGTATGAAAAGTACACAGTTTTGTCACAAACCAATGCTGAGTTACAGCATTCTTAGCTACAATTCCCTCTGAGTTACAGAAGGACTAAATTTATTTAAGTAGTACCTGTACACCAACACAGGTAAAATTTTATCCTTAAAGAAAAAACATCTACTTTTGTGTCTTAAATACAATAATTTATCTGAGAACAAAGATGATGGCTGAATATCCTCATTCCAAAAAGGATGTAGTGTGTAGGGGACACGTGTGGCATATGGAGATGGATTTCATTTATCATCAGTTACCAAGTCTGGAGTATCAAGCTCAGCTATTTATTACCTCTTGTAAGACTTCCAGTTCTTCTTCCAGCTGCTGAGTTTCTTCCTTCACTGCCATCAGATAATCAGTAACTGACTGTCGAGGATGCAGCCCCTTTTCAAAGCGGTTGTACATTCCACTCCAGAACCTGGAATTGATGGCAAGGTCAGGAATTTTCCCATTTGGTGAAGTAGCCTCATGAGACTTACATGCATGTTTGGTTTCTTTCCCCCCAGACATATCACCCTAAATGCTATAACCATGCTTATTCATCATTAGAGTGCATACACATAAGTTCATAGACTATTTAGAAAGGTTCATGGTTCATTTGTATTTCTTCCATCCTGGAAGTGCAACTCATAGCTGGACATAGGCAGCTCAAACTTACTCTGATACACAATAAAAGAAAGATGAATGTAGTTTAGATCACAACTGAGGAAAGTTCACTGAAAGGTTCACAAAATTTTGCAGGCTTTTTTTGGTATTATTTTCTTGTTTTACAGTATGGGATTTAGAGCAATGGTAGCTATAAAATAGCCACGGATAAAGACAGTTTTTCATATTCGTAGTTCTCAATTGTTGTTCAACTTGCCATGAACTCAGCTCTGAAATTCTGTATTACTCTGGTGCTCCTCCTGCCTCACTGGCAATAGGGCCACAGGCAGGCCCTGTGTGTAACCAGTTCACCAGACAGGTTAAGTAACCGAGCCCTGCTGTCAGCTGCAGCTGTCTGGCCGAGTAGCTGACAGATATTTTTGGAGAACATGCATGCTGCTTGGTGGCTTATTATTCCTAGCCCAGTAGTATACTATTTAAATCACATTCCCCCTTAAGATTATCATCTGATAGCTCATGCTTGGAAATCTTTACGCACCCAAGTAATTAGATTAAAATCAACAGGATTACTCATCCATTGGAGGAACTGCTGTCTCAGTACTTCTTTTATAAATCCCACTATCCCAAAGAATACGATTAATGACTATTTTTAAATTGTTTTAAAGTGGATGTGACCTGGTATAGCAGACATGAAAGAATTCAATTTCTGTCATTTACGATTTTTACTGACTTCTTAACAGGTGCTGTTACTTGCAACTGCAAACAAACTGATCAGTTTTACTTAAATGACAGTTTTAATGAATATCTATTTAGGTTCTCCCAAAATTTGTTAAGACTAATGGCACGATTAACTCAGAATGTCAGTAATAACATTTCTAAAGTGATGGTATTTTGTTACATTTTGAAAAAACAGCAGGAAAAACAACTTCATTTTACCAAATATAACAACATAGGGAAAGTCTGGGGGTTTTTTACAAAATACTTGTTTCAGCAATGAAATCATGTGATTTCTTGAAAAGATCCTTTTTAATTTTGACACCAATCAATCCAAACTAACATCACAAAATCTTGGAGTGGAAGAAGTTAAGACAACTATAAATTTAGAAACAGCAGACAAGAACAGGACTGAAAGAGGCACTTCTCAGGGGAAGAACTGAGTAACCATGAAATTAGGACACACAACTATCAATATAGCTTTAATCTTAAGCTTCTTTTCAGACTAATACTGTGTTGTGGAATGGCACAGAGGTGTTGGCTGACTAGGGGCAAACAAGGAACAAACACATTGCATCTGAGACTCAATTTACACTCTATAAACTCTATTTCTATAAAGAAATACTTCTATGGAAAGGCATTCTGTTCTGTACTAACCCATGCTACAATTCCTAGCAGCAAGTGATACCACCTACTTGTACAGGAAGTTGCATGGAGCTATCTGTGGGTGCAGGGTCCCTTGGGTTTGACTGTGGCCTGGCCTGTATAAAGGATTCAGGTAATCTGAACGATTTTTCCACAAGTGAGCCCACAATGAATACGTTCGTTCTTTGATTCTGAAAAACAATACATTAAATAAAAATACATTAAAGCCTCTATTACAATTCAGGGATAGCTAAAGCTTAGATACAGCATTCTTGTCCTCTGTACTTCCACTTTACAATCAGCTTCCTTAACAAAATTAGACTTAAGTTACAAACAGAGAAACAGAAACCTATATTCCCTTGTTACTCACTAAAAGCAAAATCTGTTCCATTTCCATAAAGCAAAACCAGCTAGAGCGAGTAGGTGGAGAGACTGGTTCCTTTGTGAGGTGGAGAGGATCATTTCCATAAAGTGAGCTTTCAGACTGATCTCTGCAACAAAGGAATCCCCACATTTAAAAGCACTCCTGCTGAGCTGCAGTTTCTTACAGTTAGGTCTTGGGATGTGGTGATCTGTGAAGGTTTTGATTTTAAATGGACTGTGGCACTGTGGCTGCTCTGCATTTGAGCAGTGAGAGGGACAAAATAGCAGCAGCCAGCAGTAACCAGCACCTTCCTCTCAGTGCTACTGCTGACACGATCAGGCTGCTTGGGAAAAGCAATGGATATCATCATGTATCGAGGACCCAGTGCCCCGAGGAGGAGATACAAACATCAGCACTGCCAGGAATGATGATCCTGTCTTTGTTTGGGCCTCAGGGCACGTAGATTAATTCATAATTGCTTTGGGGTCGGACAGCAGGACAGTCTGCTGACCCAGTCCTAGGGAGGGCTACCAAACAAAAAGGTTGTTCTTAACAAGTACCTGAGAGAGCAGGACTAAAATGTCCTGACATGAGATCCAAAGACAGGTTAAAACACAGAGGAGCAGTATCTCTTAAACTGAGAACTTAACTAAAGTTACTGTCATTTTATACTGGAATTACAGGGCCAGATTGCCTTTGTCAGGGCTGCAGTAAAGGCAGGCCCACATGGCTGAAGGCATAATGCTCTTGTCAATTTTCACTAATCCCTGTCACGCAACACCATGGATTATGCTCCCACCAGAGCTGCACTGCAGAGGTTCAACTTTTTTTGGTATTAATCTGTGTTGTCAGAAGACAGCAGGCACCCTGTGCCTTATGAAACACATACATGCAAACTGGAGAATGTTTGACCACTCAATGTACCACCAGCCACGGACCCCATGCATAAGTATGCTACTAAAGTAAACATTTTCATACTTCAGCTCTCTTCTCTCTTTCTGGCTGTTACACAGGAAATTCCCAAACTGGCAAGAATAGATGTGATGCTGTATGTGGATGAGGAATCTTTCATTGAATTCAAAGGCACAAGGAAACTGTTCCATTAACTGCCAAACACATTCGATGAACTGATCAATTACAGGCGATATCTCCTTTGGATCTCCATCTAAATTGCCATACCTGAAACAAGACAAGATGTATCCAGTTATAACCTGAATTTCTGTAAGAAAACTGAGTTAACTCTGAGGAAAACAAACCCCTCACAGGCGTTCCTTTCTAAAATCTCAACTATTACTATATTTTTATTTACAAATATGATGCAAGAATCATGAAGTAGACTGGAGGCAGAATAACAAATAAAAAAGCCTCTTTTATTTGGTGTCTTGTTACATTGCAGCTACAAAAAGCTGGCTGCTGCATAGCCATGTTTTAATGCTATGAGTATAAATTGTACCCTGGTAACATAAGTTATCAGAATGGCTGCAATGATTTAATGACAAAAATGTGGCTTAAGGCAGTCTCTTAATAGTAGATTAATCCCCAAAACAAAAAACTGAGCAGAAGAGCTACAGTATAACCTCATCAGAAAACAGGTTAAAGCTGCCCTCTCTTGGTGAAATTTCTAGGAAGTGGGAAATGTTTACATGCTACTGTGACTGTCAAGTGAACATGAAACTTTCTGTGTATAAAAATGCCTCTTGGAACCACTTGCAATGAAGAAAAGGAGGCTGAAAATAAAAAAAAAAACTCATAGAAGTAAAATGTATTTTTTAAGTCTACATAATAAGAAGAAGCATTTTCAATCAATTATTCTGCTTGGAGGGGCCTGGGGGATGTATATGCATTTATATGTAGACATCTCAACAGAGTAGAATTTCATAAACATCTAAAACTGAAACTTCTATTATCATCAAAGAAAATACAGCAATATTGCACAGCAAACCAAAACTATCAGTGGTTATTGCATTTCATAATACTTTTTACCACTGATAATCATAAGCAACTGACAATATCATATTAAATGTGATAATTCCTACTGGAATTTCACAGGTTCTGTGAAGATGCACAGATTTTTTGGAGTTTTGTTGGTTTTTTAATCCATAACAAATTTATATTCAAATTAAGCAATATAATGTAATTAAACCCCAATATAAAAATTGCATTTTTAACTTTTACTGAAAATAAAAGTAAAGGCATGAAAGAAAGAAATTGAAAATGTATCCATGTTTAAATATTTTAAGCGTTCAAACATTTTCATTACATTATAGCATTTACATTGGATCGATGTTCAAAATAACTTGTCTAAATAAATGACTTTCCACTTTGCCTGACATTTCTGAGCAGATCTTGCTGGTTTTTTTAGAACAGAGTGTAACAGGAAGAGTATATTTAATGTAATAGATAACTCACAGACATGCCTGAGATTAAGTACTGCCTTGGAAGATGCAGAAGTCCCTTTGATGAACAGAGACTTATGTGGGGGAGTCCTTGGCACTACTAGGAGATCTGCTGGAGTCCAAACGGATTTTGCAAGCTAAATACACACTACACATACGGACCTCTCAATGCTCATGGCAACTGCAACACCAGCACACAGGATTCCTCTTAGTAGTTCTGGAGTGCATATATAGAAATATTTCGCTCTGACTTTTCCAGGCAGCTAAATGGAAGTTGGAGAAAAGGGTATGGCAGTTTCCTGGGACATTCTGTTGTTGTGTTTGGAAGGCAGCAAAGAAGTAAACTGGAATGGCAGTAGATACAGACTACATAAACATAGACATACAGAGAGAGGAAAACCTTAGCACTGCCTTACCTGTGGTTAAATTTGTGACCAAAGGAAACCCAGTCTTTTTCAATTAACACCTAAAATGAGAATATTGCATTCAATGTTGTAGAGTAGAGCTGACATGTCTAAGCAGGCAGAAGGGTGGTGTAAACAAGCAGTACTGGAATCCCAGTTAATTCTTAGAATAAGCAAGCAAGCAAGAATGATGTAAGCAAGCAATATTAGAATCCTAAATGGTTTTCAGAATTAGCAGAAAAACAAGTGATGAGCACTGCTTGCCAGCTCAGGGAACTCTTCATGGATGCAGAGAGGGTGTCAGTATTTCAGCACAACTTCAAATATCTTGTTTCATTTCTTTCTAAAATAGAATTTATAAATGTCTCAAACATCTTTTTAACATGTGACCAGTAACTCGATAACCACTTCTGAATGCTTTACTACTGCTCATTGACCTGGGAAAGGAACAGATCTTCCAATATAGCTGCTCATTGCAATCTAATGTCTAGGAAAGACACACTTCTGACACTTAAAATGTTCACTGCACGTGAATAGAAAATCTTGCACAAAATCTCTTTGGGCTGTGAGAAAGTTTCATGGTCAAGGTTGGGAAAAAAAGATGCCAAACATAAGTGACCCACTGATCCCCACCTTGAAAAACATTTCATAGAGTTATTGGGAGACTTTAACATGAACATATAGAAGCCTTCCTTCTTACTTAAAAAAACAAAACAAAACAAAGCAAGGGTATATTTAAGGACAGTTTAATTCCTATTAAAAACAAAGGTATTCATCTAAAGTGATACCATACTACTTCATTTACTCTGTGAAAGAATCCGCTTACCATGAATCCCTTCATAGTTCTGTAATATGGATCCAATAGAAGGCTTGCTACAGAGCAAACCTGGGCTGTCCTATCCCAGCCATCAGAGCAGTGAACAAGCACACTCACACCTTCCTCAGCCACAGCCTAAGGATTGAGAAAAAGTCAGAAGGTTCACAAGCAGAGAGGAAGACAATGGTGAGAGACAGTGAGACAAGAGCCATATAGAGTATTAATTTAGGAACTGGGAAAGCTCATTCATTTTTTACTGTAACACAGAGCTCTTAGTGTTATTGATCTCATTTGAGAATCAGTGTTATTCCTCTAATTTTAAAAGTTTTAGTTCACCCCAGGTGATACAATACGGTGGTTGAGAATTACCAGTTAAGCTCCACTACAGGAAGGCATGGGATTCATTTCAGTTAAAATACATCAGTCTGTCTGAGCAGACGAAGACCTACAGCAGGTTCAGATGCTCCAACACATCTCATGCCACTTACATGCCACTAAAAGAATAGTCATACTGGCAATATGGCTCTTCATTTTTCCTCTTGATGGTAAAGTCATTAAGGGTGGTGTCTGCTTCTGATGCCACCCCTAGCCTGGGCATTACTGCATTATTACTGCAGTACACTGCATTGCACTGATGACATGCTGTAAAGGCTTGAGGGGAAGCCTGTGGAGGTGGGAAACTTCCACATCTAATAAGCAAGATCTTATCAGTATCTTTAATGTAATTAAAGGTTACAGGGAGGGAGGATTCCATTTTATACATAAACACAAAAAGAAGAAATTGTACTGAGTTCTCCAGAGTCTGGTGTTGTATTATTTTTAGAATTTGAGGGGGTTTTGTTGGGTTTTTTTTAATTCTAAGGGTTTTGGCCTTTTTCATTTTTAAAGAGAATTAAATTTTAGAAGTAGAAAATAAAGTAGGTTAGGGAAAATACTGTTAGAAAAAAACCCAAAAACCAAAACATTTAAGTTAATTTTGGGCTTAATAGGGAATGAGGAAAAATAAATTATCTATTTTTATCTCAAGAGACAAATAAATTCTACCAAAATAGAGCCCCTGTGGGCAGAAGACCAAGAGCTGAGAACTGAGAACAGAAATAAATAAGAATGGGGCAAAATGCATGTCTGAGAAGGCACTAGGCTAGCAAGCATATGCACAAAGGATAATAAGACTAGCAAAGCTAATGTAAATGACTTTATTTCTGTCAGCTAATGAAAAGTAGTACAGCTGGGAGTAATAACACATGTATTTATTGCACAGTTGCTGTTCAGGTAAGAAACTACAGTTACATACTGAGAAGGAAGAAGCAATGCAAGAGAAACAAGCAGTTAGGACAGAAACCCATGAAGTTTTATCTGTGTAGTTGTGTGCAGTAGGTCACATGAATAAAATAGCCAATAAAAAAATTGTAATCTCATAAATAAGAATTGAAGCAGTAAAAGGCAGAGCACAAGGTAAGGGGCAACAAAACTAAAGCTTCTGCTGGCAGATGACAAATGTCTATATTACTTTTGGGAGGGAGTAGGGGTAATAATTTCTTCTTAAAGCCAAAACTGTTTTCTGGAAGAGTTCTCAAGTATATAAAAATAGAAGCTGCTAGAGAGTTTGGCCATGGTAATACAAGGGAACTGGTTCAAGAGGTGAATTTGGCTGGTTGCCTGATAACTCAGAGGAAATAATACAGTAGCTATATATTATATATAATATAATTCTTATACATTATATATAGCTATAGGTATATATTACAACTACCACTTCCACAAAGATGTCCAGAAACCAGTGAAGGAGGGAGGGCAAGTAGGGAAAGAAACAGTAACAATCACTGTTGGGGAGTAAAGTAAGGACATTCAAAAATCTGCCATAACAAGACACAAGTAGGCTAGTATAGGCTTCAGTGCAAAAGAGCACAAGCTTTGGTTTACTGTTTTAGAAAAATAGTGTTGACACACCACCACCTAAGAATCATCTCTCCTCATACACAAAGTATTGCAAGATGAGCTTTCTTCAGGTATAACATCACTGAAGAGATAACAGAAGTTACCCATAAGCAGAGAATTTGGTCCTCATTTTCTGTATCTGGTTACTTCAAGTTTTGTTCTCATTTTACAGACTTTACCTTCGCAATAAAAATGCCAGCGTCCATAATGGCTTTGATGTGCTTCAGCCAGCCAGAATTTTCTAGGCCCCACAGAAAGTCACTCATTGAAGGTGATCTCAGCTCACAAACTGCAAAATAAGATAAATTTTAAATGTATAGCAATTAGAGTCCCTTAAGCTTCATTGACTGTTCAGCCTTGGAGTTACCTTTTCTTCAGATATCTGCTGTGCAAAATATGCATCTTCTGAAAAGAAGAACTACTTCACAGTCAAACATAACCTTTGAGAAACACATATAGTTAAGAAATGGGTCTAGGTCAAATTTGACCCAATATGTTGATTTAATTTAAAGAGAGAAGCTGTCATAAAGCCTATTGCAAACAAACCCAAATCCATCCTTCTGTGAAGTACGTATTATCCAAGATTGTGTTTGGAGTGAAGTTTTCAGACCCCTGGTTGGAGTTCATACATTTAATGATGAGAGCTTGGGAACGGCAAGCATTTGATTTCTGCTGCTGGACAGGCAGACAGACATCTGAATGGTGCCACTGCCTCCCACTCCCAGTATCAACACAGATGATGGCAGTTGAGTTAAAGTTGCTCACTCCACAGTTCTCCATCCCTGAATTAAACCTTATTAAAGTTTCACTTGGAGTCAAAAAGTATTCTGATGGTGAGGACAAGACATAATCCATCAAGGAAAATATTTTCCTGAAAATCTTCCAAGCTCTATGCCACATTTGAAGAAAAAAATAATAATCTCTTGGTTTTTACTCTACATTTCTATTCTGCTGTATCCAAGTGTCTATTATTTAATATTAAAGAGTTTGTAGCATCAGAATAAAAAAACCAAAACAATCAGAATCAAAACCAGGTATCTCAATCCAGATGAACAAATACTCAATGAAATTTGGTGCAATTTTCAACAGTGAGATACTAAATTCACCCCATAAATAGACTGCATCTTTATTTTTATCCATGTAGACTTACACTGTCTTTTAAGGAAAAATATATTAGCCAGTGAAATTAATTTTCAGAGTATAGTGAAAAACATAATGGCTTTTACTGAGTTAATGTATGATCTGTCAATTACTAATGTCTTACTAGGTCTCTTGTGGTCTGGAAATCTTAAAAGACTCCGTTATTTTTGGCCATTATGGCCCCTGGCATAGCTTTATTTTCCTTCAGTGTAATTGAAATTTAATTTTACAAGGTAAAGTCTAAATTTTTACCATATCTGTACAATCTGACTGTCCTAACTCCATTTAGCTTAGAAGCAAAATGGCCTAATGTGTCTGTATGAAGTCTTGCAATGTTTATATGTAAGGCCCCTTCCAGATGGTTATTTTAAAAGTAATTTTTGGAGGATATTTATAAAGATGCAGAGATAGCAGCACTGAAAGCAAACAGCTTTTCACATGATTAATGCTCCTGTGCAGATGGAAACATGACCAATTAGTGGCTGAATTCTGGCTGAAGCTGCTGTCTCTGTTTACAAAAGCCCAAGGTAAGGCTGAAAAAGTGCTTTGCTCATTCCCACTCCCAAATTGGAGTCAATATTTACTGACCACTTCACTGAGCAAAGTTCATACTGTCCTAAATGCATACACTGTATATTTCACATGACTTTGGCAACTGATCTGGACCTTAATACTGAGTTCAATTATGAATTCAATTATGAGGCTTATTCTGAGCGGGAGAGGCATTTCCATCTCATCAGAATAGGTACCAAAGTCTTTGAGAAATATGGCCTGCTCCATGCACAGTGTATGCACAGGAAAATCAAGAGCCAATGGGCAGAGCTCTGAGAATTCCAGCAATGTGCCCATGTCTCAGGATGGGAGGAAGAAACAAGGCATGTGTTGGAAAGTGCCTCTTCTACCAGAAAATGCTGGATTAGTCCCCTCTTTTCTGGCAGGACAGCCATAAGTAGAGGAAGGAAGAGTTGCTGTAGGCCAAACCCACAGGTTTTCTTACTGGCGGATCTGCCACAGAAGTCCAAGGATCAGAGGGCTGCTCCTACATCAGCAAGTGCTGCTCCTGCTGTGAGGGGAGGAGAAGCTCATATTTGCTGTTTAAATACAGACAGGGAGCATGTGGGGCCATCACCTCAGTGCGCAACACGCAGGATGTGCAACACAGCCCACCCCACCCCAAATGCCAACAGCACCCTCAGGCAGACCTTGGATCTTTATCAAGAAAAGTCACTGTGGAATGTCCTTCTAATATTAAAAATTATTTCAAGGAGGTTTGTGCACAGGATCAAAATTATCTCAAGGTTCTTCACGTAGACCCATCTATAAATGGAGAAAAATAAAGATCCGCACTATACTAAAGGCAGTAAAAAAAAATATTTTTTTATCTCTGAAAGGAAATTCCATCATGCTGAAATGCATTTTACTTCCACAGCATAGTCAAATCTCAACATTTTTTGCATATTCTGAAAAATCTTATTCTAAAAATTTAATCATTTTTTAATGCTGGTATAATTTGCCAAAAATCAACATTATAACAGGGTAAATATACATTAAAATAAGATAAAACAGCTTGAAATAAATTCAGTAAAATCACAAAGCTGAAACAATTTTTTACCCACTCAAATAAAATACTGATATTTGTCTAAGTATAAATTTATTTTCTCAGCTTTTTCCCAAAAAATAATTGAAATGAATACATTCCTAATGTAAGTGCATTTTCTAATGGAAAACTGAATAATACATTTTTTTTCAAATTTTCTCAGCATTGGAAGTTACGTAAAATTGTATATTGAAAATAATCTGCAGTCTGGCATGTGAAGATCCTTTGCTCTTCACTTCTGCTTAGCACCAGTAAACTGAATTAAACTGGCCTTGCATTTTAGCAACACATCTGTCCAGCTATATCTTGATGTCCTCTTTTCCTGCTGTATACTTCCAAGCAACAATACAGCTCACATTTAGCTAAAATCAGTTTTCATCACCCTCATTTGTCTTTTCAAAGGTTTTTATGCACCTTACAAAATCCTAAAAGACAACAGATCATGAGCAGCAGACACATTCTGTAAAGAGTAGTGATGTTTTACTTAAGATTCACAGAGGTACAGTGATATTGCTATCCTATTTATGTATTCTTTTAATTATTTATATATTTTATATTGATATTGATAATACATCAATAATTGCTAATTATTGATATACTATCGAGATATTCATTGATAAAAATTTAAAGCCATATTAAATGTGTGTTACCATCATCCTTAACAGCCTTTTTGGTTCTAGGTCTCTTTGTATCCTCCAGTCAGGTAAAAGGTCACCAGAAAAACAGAGGAATAGACACATACAAATGGAAAAACTACATAGCATCTTATATAAGAAAAGTCCTAGTACACTAAAAGTCATAAGATTTTTCTTTTAAAAATTTCTTAACTTCTCTGATTTCTATCTAATCTTATCAGTCAAGTTGCTACATGAGAGATTTCAACACAGCAAATATAAAACCCAGTAAAAAAGCAGATGTTTTAACCATATGGTTTATTTGAAAATAGATGCTAAGAATTTGTGCCCTCCAAGCAGCCTGAAGGTTTAAATACATTAGAAATTACCTTGTTACATGCAAGTTTGGGCCATGGGCTGGTCTTGTGAACTTTTGGCTTAAAAATTATACACAGCATTTCCCATGCAGCCTGACCAGTTGTTTACAATTTTAACTTTGATAGTCTTGAGTTGAACAAATAAAGGGACCTGTTTACTCACCCAGCCTCTCTCCTAGCCAAACAAGAATTCCTATTGAACAAAATATCCTTCTCTTTTCCTACCTGAGACCCTTGGACAAAGAAAACTCTCATGAAGAGAGGGGATGTTTTACCTTCATCACACTTTAATGCTGCTTTCCATAAAATGCTCTAATTTGAAAATAGAGCATGACTTCCCTCTCATGGAAAATTTAAGCCTTTCTTAGATTTCAAATTTACATTTTCATGCACTTGATGGGAGAGAGATGAAGAGTAAAAGAGCAAGGGCAGAGCATGAAATCAAGAGTAAGATAGATCAACTAATCTGGGAGGTGATGGAAGTTGTTGTTGATGTACATGAAGCAAATATGGAGACATGGTGGAGTGAGCACTATTTCCTATTTGCTTGCTAAAAATCAACTAGCCACTGAAGGCCAAGGATGGTTTATTTATCCTTCCTCTTCTCCCAGATGACCTCTAAACAGTTATGTACTGCAAATATGAAATGGCAGAACAGCTTTGCTGGTTTATATACTGCTAAGTATTTATAAGGCAATTGTTATTACTTTCCATAGGATATTGAAGGTGAAGAGTTATTACACCCATTGACTGTGAATTTCATTACGTGACCTGATGTGATATGTTCTTTAAAGGGCATGAGTTAAAATTCACAGTCTAAAATGCTTAATTACTTTATAGGAAAACCACACCATAGTTTTTCTGAGCTTTAAAAAAAAATCAATCTGTATTTTCCACTAGTCAGCTATAAGGGATTTTTTTCATTTCACCATCAAAATGTAAATTTAAAAAAAAATACATAGTAGCAGTAAGGTGCATGGAATTAAAATTAATTTTATCATTAAATGATATCTGGATTTCAGCCAGGAAACAAGGTGTTTTCACAATTAAGAAATCACCAACCAGTATTTGCCATTCTGCTCCATTGCACAAGTCCCATTAGCCAGCAGGCAGCTGCATGCAGCTGTAACAGGTAAAGATTATTTTCCATATTCCTTTTCACTGCTGCTGATTTCAGAGCAATTATTCTGATTTCTTTGACAGAAGAATCGATTATTTCCTCTAGTTTCCAATGAAGAGGAACATTACCTTCAAGCATCTTCTGCAGACTATTTCTCATAACATGGATGTTCTCAATGCCTATGAATTGAAACTTGATGTTGGAGTAGTTGTCTTCATTTTCGTATCCCTTCCCTGCCGCTCTGTTTGCCATTGCGTTGAGCTGAAACACATAGGGAAAATTGGATGAAAACCAGTAGCAGAATCTTTTCAAAACAAACCTTGTGGACTACAGCAATAAATCAGAGAGGTAAGTCAGGCACAAATAGGAAGCATTTGTCACAGTGTCAACACAAGGCACTATGAACTGGGGATCTGTTAACAGGGCACTGGGCTGCTGACTCTCTGATATCCCTGTCTCACACACCACAAGTGAAACTTCATTAGTGAGGTTAAGCACACAACCCCCACATCTTAGGCAGGATTCCTCTGCAAGAGCATAAAGGTTTAGATTTTAAAGGGCTGCTTTGATTTTATACTGGATCAGCATTATGTTTACTGGCAGAATGTACCCAGGAGATGGCAGTGTATCATCTGCCATTCCACTGGCTCTTAGCATGTGCAAGCCGTAGTGCTGCCCATGTTACTGTATCTCATTGCTCAAATCATCCAAAAGCTGATACAGCTTACTTCTTTGAAGACTGCAATAATGAAGCTGGATTAGTTTTTCCTAATTTTATACTAACTCGGCTCTTGTGATGTGAGACTACAAAATATTTGAATTGACAACATTACCGCAAATATTTTCATCTGCAATGCGTGGCTATCAAAGGAGTTGCTGTGCTCCAGCACAGCACTTTCTGTGACAGATACTTTCAATTCGAAGTTTTGTCTTCAAATCTGTTACTTGTTTCCTGGCATGGGAAAGTTTCTTTAGTTCAGTTTTCTCAAGCATAAAATTAAGGGTGGGGTTAATGTTTATATTCCCCCCTTTCAGAACACTTGGGTGGGAAGGAAAACTGTTTGCCAAGCTCCTTATGCCAAATTTTGATCTTTGGGCTGAAAACTAGAAATGGTAAAAAATAATTAAGTAATTTTACTTTTATAAGTCTTTTAAACTAAATTATTCTTTTATCAAGTACCTATCTACTTTTATTTCTAAATTTCCTATAGAAAAATTACACTGTGCAATGGAAAGAAATTTTATTTTTTCATAAAGTCGATACTTTTGTGTGAAATTTATGCTCTAGGGCTGAGGGACCTTCAAACTTCCCAAGAAATATGAAGGCTCTGAGAGTGACGAAGCAGCTCAAGGGGCAGAACCTCCATGCCTCCAAGCACAACTCACAACTTCTGCTCAGGAAAGATTTAAGAAATAAATAATGAAGGATATAGACTTCATGAGGCATCCATTGGACAAAAACTGACTCATCTTCATTTCAGTGGGAGCCAATGCTCATGAAAAAGCAAAAGAAGTCTCTCTTAGGCATTGCCTAGGGGACAAGAGATAACTCTGTCTCCAGTTTATTTCCCAATAGTGCGGGCAGTACTATTGATTCACTGATTCTGTGGTCACATCTGAAACTCACAATAATATATTTTAGTGCTGAGCTAATGGCATCATGGGATATACAAGAATGTCTCTTTTTCTGACCTCTTCTACCCCAAACACACATACTCCCAATATTCAGTTTTAATTTGGAGCCAATACACACAACTGGGGACTGATTGTCTGATGCCATCTTCCCTCCAACCAAGGTGAACAAGCGTAGCTTTTTTATGTTATATGTCAAAATAGGTTTCCAAGGACCAAACCTGGTATCTTAACTTTCAAAGGAAAGAGCTAAAAAGTTACATTTGTGGACCGCCATTAGGAATTGAAACATTGCATGAATTTTGTGATGCAACAGAAGGAACCACACTCTGGATAGGATCCTGGGAAAATCACCAACATTTTTGATTTATAAGAATCTTGGGCAAATTTTTTTTTTAACTTGCAGTATGCAAAAGAGCACAAACAAAAAACTCCATTCTTGTCTATCAACCAGCAGACTACTGATATTTTGACTATCAACGGACAACCAAAAAAAAGATACAGCCTGTGAACAGCATGTCAACTAAGGACAGAGTTCTCTGTGTGACTTGCTACAAAGATATAAATTATCTACTGAATCCTAATCTTTCTCTTTTGAAGTTGACATCAGTGTTCTTGTATAAACAAAAAGAGGCAATCTCTCTCTGCAGTAGCCTATAGTTTCAGAAAGAAAGATCTGTACACATGAGTCTCAGCCACCACAAACCTCTGAAACTCTAAATGAAAAACATCTATCTTCTAACTAATCTAGTACTCAGCACATAAATACCATTAACTGTTCTTGCAGCAGAGCAATTTTATCACAAATATCCTTTCTTAAAGGGCAATCTGAAATAGTACTCTTTGAAAGTAAATAAATACAAGGTTAAATTTTCAAGGCTTTCTGACACTCATTTATTTTAAATACTGTCAGTTGCCAAACTTTGCAGCTGCCACAATATTTACTAACAAGTTTTCCACATCATCTACCAAAATTCCATCTGTTGCTCTTAAAGTAGTTGTTGTGAAGTAATCTAAATTCTGCTTGTTCCTGATTAATCTCAGTGAATATGAGGATACAGCCTGTAAAGGTAAAATACCCCACTTGCAAGATTTCCTGGCATTTTCTTTAATCTGGAAGATAACCAAGTCAAGTCTTGTTATAAAGATTATAGAACTAATGTGTTTTAGCCATAAACAGTAAGTCTACATTAGCTTCTTTTGTGATTACACAGAGGAATGACAGTGGCTTAAGTAAAGTTGCATTTGGTCATCCTGATATATCCAAATGAAGAGGAAACAAAGCTTTCTTCCACAGACAAACCTTTTGTTTTGAAAATTATCAAGCACAATGAGGGAAGAGCCCTTGGGAATGTTGAACTGAAGGATCCATCAACATTCATGATCTTTGCAAGAAACTGGTTCTTATGAGAAATGAAGCAAATAGTTTTTTAGCCACCTATGGGAAGCCTTCCACCAGACTTGGTATCTTCTCTTTACATTTGTTAAACATTCCCTGAGAAATGCCAGGAACTGCTTCCACTGATATCTATCCATTGTTATATGCTCTACATTTATAAACGTATTATCAGGTGCAAAATTGTAACAAATTTGGCATCTGGGATCACAGGAGCTTTGTAGATCTGTCCATTTTTGCTGCACAGAGAGAACTAGGAATCTGGTGTACAAATTACATCAAAACCTTTTATCACAAAACAGTTAAGTGAAAACAGTCTTCAGTTCCTGACTGGCTCCTGAAGAAGCCAGCATTGCTGGAAATATGCTGGAAATCATTGTTGAATGAGCCTAATTCAGTCTCTCCACACCCTCCACAAAGTATGGGCTTTTTTCACTACACACAGAAGTCTCAAAGTAATTTGCCAGAAAAAAAATAAGGGATGGCTCCTTTCTGTTACTATCTAGTAAACATTATTAATAGCTAGGTCAATAAGTCATTAGCAATAAATCCTATTTAAGGCAGTCAAAGACTGCCTTAAATGGGGAAGAGTACTAATACCATCAGACAGAAAACAAGCCGTAACTATTACTACACATAAAATCTGTAAACAAGCTTTATTTAGACAGCTAGATCTGTACTTCATCTCTAATGCCCTTATGAACACAACGGTACCAATCCTTTCCTAGTGCTCATCACAATTCACTTGCTTCAGGACCACAAGTAAGCTAGTAGCATCCTCGTCTTCCCAACAAAAAAAGGGGAACTGAAGGTCAAAGTAGTTACCAGATTACACAGCCCTTGGTGTGACTTGGGGCATTGAGACTTGCCAAGGCCTTCATTTTCTGGCTACGGCCTCCCATTAGAGCTGTGAGCACTCACAGCACCTTCCCACCAATGTCCATGCCTTCAGTCACCAGCCATACAGGTTCCCTGTATCTGCTCCAGCTCTGCCAGGTTTGCCCTTCCTCACTCCATTTCTCATGTTTCTCAGTTTCACCCACCTTGCCCTTTCAGACCCTGTCTTCTGATCTCAGGATAATGAAACAGATTCCTTGTTCCTTTCCCTCAAACATTTATTCTCATTTTTCCTTTTCCCATGCTATAGCTAATCCTGTACCTACAAGGGATTTTGTGGAGATTTGCCTCTTTAGTTTCTTTTCTTCAGAGGCTTTGATAACTTCAAGAGGAAAATTGCTGATGGTATAAGAAAGAACATATCCCTGCTCTCACCTCCAGACACTGTAGTCTATCTAGTCTTTACCATTTTGAGCTGTTTCCTTGCATGAAAATTTGGACACGATATTTTTTTAACTTCCAACCTTTTCTAGGTCATTATTGAGTTTCTATATTTCTCCACAGCATATTTTTTTCTAAAGCTTTTATCTCGGCCAGAGGTTTTTAATCAGTTATGGATATGGCATTTGATGTCACTATTTATCGTATTTCAGATTGTCTCTTAAAACCACCAAAGATATTCTGCTATTGGAGATATTTAAAGGTCTCATCCATTTCTGTGATCTCAATAACTTGTCTTTCCTTATCCTTGTGCAGAGGTCATTGGAATTTTCTCACTTCCAGGAGAAATCATGCATGGAAAATTACAGTATAAGCAGACAGAGGTTTGCAACATTACAAACATTACAAACAATAAGTCTTATAATGGGAATTATTTTTTGCCAGTCTCATCAGAAATACACTTACTTGATAGCTCCTTTGTGTGTGTAAACAGTTACAATTACACATTATTTACTTTTCTGTATCTTGACATTTTGCTAAGAACAAGAAAAGGGAAAGGTTCAGTGTAAAGGAGAGAATTCTTTCAAAGATAATAATGTGGTCAAGGTTTCTAGTTAAGATTCCCCTGATAAATCCTCATGTACCTGTGGAGTTACACAGGTGCAGCTAGGATCAGAAGTGACTTGACCCGTCACTTAGGTTGTGTATCTTCCATAATGCATTCAACCTAGACTCAGTCTTTCTATATGTAAGAAATTTAATGTACTTACTTTGGGCCGAGTGTCAACAACATATATGAAATCACTTCCTGGATTGGCTTTTCTAATGGCCTGGAGCATCTGTTCATCCTCAAGGCATCGAGCACTAAAGCCAGATAAAGGCTGGCTGCTTCTACATATGGAGGCCTGCAGAAAAGCAGACAAACAAAAACACCTAACATAATTATAAAGTAGAAATTATTTAGCATCCAGAAGCATTTACAAAACTACAGATGCTAACCAGGAAAGAAGAAACAAAATGTGAGATGGGTGGGCAGGGAGATTTTTATTTTTGCTAGGCAGACAGCTACATTTTTAGAAAGCAAGGGGATCATATATGAACCTTCTAAGCACTGAGAACAAGCATGAAGAGAATCTGCCTGCTGAAGGTCGTAACTTGTGCAGACTGACCTACAGATTATTAATTACTGTGAGAAAGGACATGATTTCTTCAGTTACATCTTTGAACCATCAGTAGTTAGTAAAGTAGAGGTCCTTAAGAGAGAAACCCAGAATTGTGTGAGACCCTGTTCATACTTCATTAATGGTTTTCCAAACAGGTTCTTGTTAATTAGTTTAGTCTTCTGAACAGCACATATTACAGTGATTTATTACATGCTATTGCATAAGCTGAACAGATAGTTCCAGACTTTGATCTTATCATATTCACACAGACTGTGTAAGGTATGGAGGTGTCACATCACCACTGAATTTGTCAGGACAAAGGAGCAATGTAAAGTTCTGTCTATGAAAGACTGAATGAGTGGTACATGTCTCCTCCACATGCAGCAGGCTCTTCCCAAACTGCTGTTAAATCCTAACCCTTTACTCTATTTACTGGCAACTCCCAAACTTACAAGGAGGTATTTCCTCTAACATTGCTTTTCCTAGCTCTTTAAACTATAAAGGATCCAGGAGTAAACACAATATTTCAGATCCTGGTATTTTTTACGTTAACCTGAACTTCAACCACAGCAGGGAAAACATTCAGGCTGAAACACGAAACTCATCCAACTGAATTACTATATATTGTAATCTACCTGACCCTGAGACCTTTTCTTTCACTGAGATTTGGAAATGTCAAAGTGTTTTGAATCCTAGGTATCTATATTTGGACATAGTTGATAATGCAAAGTGAATAACTCTGAAAAATATGACCTTAACAAAATTTTTAAAATAATATGTAATTTATGCAGAGATTGTGTTTACTATTTAAACCTTCCTATTCTCCACTTCCTTGTAAAATTCATAGAACTTTATGGAAGCAATGCTTTGATGAAATGCAGGGTAAAGGAGTAAAAATAATGTCTCATTCCTTTCTTCTAAAGTTTAAATCTGTAACAAGGGCTGCTGTAAAGGCAAGATCTCCATGGAGGTTGTAGCTTGTGATTTGTGCTTGTGACATTCTGCAGAAATATGTCTCATCCTGCGAGGCAACCACCACAGATTCCTTGTAACCCCAGAGTAGCTCTGTCTCTTGGAAGGTCCTGACCATCCCTAGCGCTAGGGAAAACCTCTCAATGCCACTCTGGACTGAAGCAGGAGTCACACAGATCCTTTGAGAGTACAAGGGAGACACCATTCTCCTAACTGGTAATGACAGCTAAGCTAAGCCAGTCCCTAAGGGGCTGGCATACTAATGTAAAAGCACACAGTTTGGGTGGTCCTTCAGTCCAAGGGTCTCCTTGCTCACCTCAGCTGCCAGAAACAGAAATGCAAATAGGTACAGGGTTTTTTTCCAAATGGCTACAGACAAGGGGAGCAGTTCCTTGCTCAGTCAACCCTGAGAATGTTTGCTATGGAGAGGGGAAGGTGGAACTCCTCACTCTTGCAGACAAGGAGAGTCTCTTCAGCAAAACCACATCTCAGCCAAAATTTAGTAGATAAGATATCCATCCTTTCTGTGTCTCTTCACAGATCTTTTCCTGAAAAGCTGCTCCTGATTCTCTAAATGATGCAAGTATAGTTTTTCACCTCCTCAACTTGTTCTCAAGCTACCAGATCCAAAGTTCTCCTCCCAGTCAGCTACTAAGCTGCCTGCTACTGGCCTTCACTCTACCACCTGCATCTCAGGGCCTCTTGCACTACTCCACTTCCTCGTGATACAAAGATTGCGTATTTTTTGTGTTAGCTGGATGATGAAACCGGGTTTAAATGTCTGCATTAAATATCTATTAATGTACTAACCACACTAACCAGCCTATGGTAATATTTTATTTAAAATTAAATAAACACTGATTTTATCTTGCAAAATCTTACTAGAAGAATTGTGATACTAGGGCCAAAATAAGCAAACACTTTGAGTTTACAGATTCACACTTACATTGTTATCTTTGCAGTAGTAGGAAAGAGCTGGGAAACGCCTTCGGCTGCGAAATTTAGAACTGCCCACTATGATGTGTGCAGTTGCAGACTTTGGTACATAGACCTCTGTAGGATAGGAGTCACAGACCTGTGAAAGGAAACTCTGTTTGTTTGGTCTACAAAGTACAAGTAGCATTAGAAATTTCCACAGCAAAAAAAAAAAAATACCAAGGAACTTAAACCTCAGGGAATAGTCTGTTATTATTGCATACATATCACTGACGTTGCTCAAAACATTATTTTGAAGCTGGCAAGTATTAATCCTAACTTACAGATGGCAAAACTTAAACAAAAGGGTTGAAGGTCTGTATTTCCAAGTGTTAATTCATGTCTTGTTGAGAACAGACAGATTTAACATACATTCATCCCAGAAAAGGTTTATCATTACGTATAGCGAGGTTGTATTTACAATTGCAGTATGCTCTGTAGCAGAATTTGGGACTAAGGAGGGGAGTGGGTGAAGCTCTCAGATATTCATGGGAGGGGACAATAATGGGAGGGGCCATACAGCCAAATTCTTCAGAAAATTCAATAATAAAAAAAAAAAAAAAATGGACAAAACCAGGGACATGGAGACAAGAAATTAAGCTACATGAAATGAAATTACCAAAAGGCAAGCAGCCCTGACAATGCCTACCACTTCTGAGAGGAACCCAATGGGCCTGCAAAAAAATGCCCCAAATTCCCTCTGAAGACAAGTGAGACTACAGATGGAATCCTGTTTTAACACCCTTTCCTGATATTGTCTATAGCATTCTGACTGGGGTCAAAAGGATATTCAGTATTTCCCTTCAGCTTTCTGAGGTGACTAAAGCACTAAGGATGCCTAGGAAGAAATTATTTTCTGAGTCAAGAGATAAGTAATGAAGAAGAAAGGAAAGGAAGGGCTTGTTGTTACAGTTGCTGTTGTGGTGAACTGGATTTTATCCATGATGACATTTTTCCTACACTTTATCTTAAAAGAGGTCAGACACTTTTTTTCCATTTTAACACATTTTTTCATTTTAACAAAAAGAAAACAAACCCTGACAGCACATTCAGTCTTCTCTGAGAATGTCACAGTCCCTCCTTAACATGGGTATGTTCCAGCAACAGAGTGCCTGGACAAACTTTCTTCAAAAATGTCTTGGTTATTATTTCTCACAATTAATTAATATTCTAAGGTCTTTAATAGTACAAAGCCAAATGAGGTAGGACAGCAGGGAGCTAGGAAGATATACGACCTATAAAATGACTGTGAAAAACACTGACAGTCAATCACAGATGCCTCAAAACGAGTGTGGGAACAGCCAGTGAGGAAAAAATACTGTCAAGCTCACTATCTGGAGCACTTTTTTTTCTTAAAATGACTACATAGTAATTTTACGTAGCCCTGCATATCAGGGAAACTCTTATTCACACCCATAACCTTAGGCATGACTTAAACTTCTTTCCAGGCAGCTGAACTCTAACATTTAAAACACCAGTGGACTTATTTTCTGCGCTTCATTCCCACATCTGTTAAACAAAGACATATCCTTTCTCTCACTTTCTGTCTGCCATTTTATGTGAAATAGTAGAGGAACTGCTGGTGCTCCTCACCCAGGCTGCTGATTTATTGTACACACAGCCCCTGTAACAGAAAAATCACAGCAACTCACTCCGTAGTCTCTGTTTACATCACTAATCTGCCAATAGCTGTTTGGAACACCCATCCGATTGTATTCTTCATTGAGGTCCACAAGCTTCCAGCCTTGTTCTCGTTCTTCTTTATCTAATTTTGGATTGAAGGAAAAGCAATAAAGCTCTTCATATTTCACTGGGAAAAAATAAGCAAAGAAACAGAAAGAGTAAATGACTTTGGATTTCTCATCCTGAAGGCACACTTCAAAACCAGAACTTGGCATTGACCTTGATGCAGCTTCCTTTCAAGGAGTACACTTTGCTTCACAAAAGCACATATCCTGGTTTATATCTACTGTCAGGAAAACTTTCAAAGTACATGCTGTTTTGTTATTTGTATATGTTGCCATGTATGTGCCTTAATAGAAGCGCTACTTAAAATACACTGTTCTGCTAGTCTTCAGTAGATTTGTAAAAACCTTCCCAGCACAGACAAAATGTCAGCAATAGGCTTTCATCCAAAGAAAGTTATAGTCAGTGCCAGAGTAAGCATTTGTTCTTCAAAAGAATTTGCTATCTAGAGGTAGTTTAGAATTCCCTTTATTAATGTAACATCTATCCTATGGCAAAGAAAAAAGATATGAACAATGGACTATGCAGCACATTCTTCCAAAACTTAAAAAAGCTCAGTAGACTTTGTCCCCAATTAGGAAGGTTTCCAATAGATCCAATGAAATCATAGTTTTGTGGACTGTAAAATCCTGTCCTTGAATTATTAGCAAATGCATCTGAGGTACGCATGATGTAATAGCATAAAATTGTTTAAGTAGCTATCCCACCTGTCCCCCTCAACCATGTACTGTATATGAAAGTTTGGTGGTGTTGGAGCTTTTAACTTATTTTAGGAATATATCTGCATTTAATGAGTGTCTTAATCCTGGTGACCAGTGGCAGCCAGACACCACTGCCATTGAATCCCAGCTATTACCAACATGAGTAACCATCCAGCATACAACTTGAAATTAATGTTCTCATTGATACTTTAGATATTACTATGTCACAAGGGTGTATTTCATTCTGTTGCTCCAAGTTCCTTAAAGCTTTCCAATCAACAGATCTTAAACATTAGAACTGAAGTAAATCACAAGCTGAGTCCTCTCTGAGTTCATAGTTCTCCACTGATATACTTGCTCTACAATCAGTAAATTTAAATACTACACTGCTTTTCTGATAACAGAACCTTACCACTGCTGTGTTCTGCACTGAACAGAAATTACAGCTATAAAAATAATAAATACACCTCCCCAATAATAATAATAAGGCTTCCATCTTTTCCTATAGGAAGTCTTTACTTTTATTTTGATTATGTCTTCTAAAGGTCTAATGTAAGTTAAGTTTCTCCTTCGTAAATGTCATTAAATTGAATTGATTGTATACATACACACACAAAAGTATGAAGAGAAAGAAAGAAAACTTCATGTTAACTCTGTCAGGAACACACTGAAAATCAATGAAGTCTTCAGTAGGGAGAAAAAAAAAAGAAAAATTTTCACATTTTCCAGCAGTTTAAACTCCTTCTGTATTGTCTATTTTCAAACTTCTGGCATGGCATAAATTAGTAACACAGTCTGGTTTATTATCTGTTAACTTAAAGTTTTAGCACAATCCATAAATCCAAGCTGAGCCTTTGGTAGCAATTTGAGCTCCTCTTTTCACTGCTTGGTTGTCAGAAGCATCTGAATTTTCTTTCCAATGGTCCAGCTGTTCACAGGAACAAGGAAAGCCTTTAAAAATCTACTTATGTACCCAGGTTATTTATGACTGAATTCTGCTTCAACATTATAAGTATTATCACTTGATGGCATCTGTATGTAGTAAAAAAAATGTTAAAGTATTAGTGATCAGTTGCTTAAAGGTCAGTTACCACATCTTTGCCAGTACTTAAAGGACCTTTCCCAATTTCTTAGTAATTTTGCCATAAACATCTGCAATCCTGCTATTAAACATGTAGTATCTTATGGTCAGCTTGTTTTACAAAATGGCTTAATTAAGCAGAAAGGCCAAATTCAGCTGACAGATTTACCTTATCAAAAGTAAAAATAAAATTAAGCATAACCTTCACCTTTAGTGTAACTAGGACATCAGATAGCATAGAACGTGCTAAGCCAGTATACAACATGAGCTTCTCTCAGGAATGAATGAAAAGAAGAGGCAGAGAATGGAAAGTAGAGCCTGAATAGGTCAAATGATCTGCTCATGGAGTAAAGCATACCTTCTAATGCTGAGTAACCATATTACCTAAAGAAAGTACAGCTTCGTGCCCCGACAAAATGACACAGAAGAGCATTGTCAGGTACAAATGACTCAGCTAGGTACAGATGACTCAGCTTGAGTCAGAGCCTTCTAATTTTGAGTAGGTAGGCAAGATTTTATCCTGTCTCAAATCACGATCCGATAGTTTGCTGGAGAAGGAAAACTACTGTGCAGCTAAACTATGCAAAGAGCTAATTCTACAGTGCTGTTACTGCATCTTCTTTACTCAGACCATCTTGTCCACTGCAGTCAGTCACTAAACTTGTATTCAGGGTCCTCAGCTACTCTTCCTTCCCTCATTCTGGTGCATAGCAGCATACACACATCCTCCTACCTCCAAGGAAAAGGATTACAGAATCACATGCCTTCCAGCATACATGTACTTGCAGCTGAGGTACATGGAATGAATCCATATTTTCATCTGCAGAACCACTGATCGAATATTTCTAATAGTTTTAGATTTCTCTGATTACTTTCATCCTGCATCACCTACTTACCAAGTTACTTCTGCTAATTATATAGTATTACTGCTCCCACTAGTACTTTACAAAGTTTAGTAGCTGTGCTGGTGGACTGTGCAATTTTTTCCCCTCTACACAGTAGATAAAATTGATACTCTCCTGACAAGAAAAAAAATTAAAGCCAGTTGTCAGGTTTGTAGAGACTATAATAGACAATTTCTTTGTATACTGTTAAAATAATAATAAACAAAAGTTGGTGTTATATTTCTAAAGTCATAGCTTAAAATAAACAGTCCAGAAGCTTTGTCAGTTGGGTCTTAGAAGAGCACAATGAGGAGCTATGATGTAGGCAATCAAACGTTGGGCTTTGGCACAACATTTGGTTTTTCATTGAAAAGGGAAAACGTTTCAAAAGGATCTTTAACTGAATTCAGAAGCATGGAGGGCATATTTAATAAGATAATAGATAATAATAGATCAAAACACAGGCAGCCCAGTGAAATAAAACAACTACTTGCTGCAAAACCTTTCACTGATTTAAAGGAATTTCTGCACAGCACAAAAAGTCAAAATGGAAATCTTGACAGGACCACTAAATATATTGTAAATTTTTTCTTACAACAGGGACATAAATGTTACCTGAATTTAGAATATTATCCTAAATTTACATTTACACAAATCAGCCAGAAAATGAATTGCACATAAAATAGCTTTATAATATATTTTATGGTTGATGATGCCCTAGAGTATTAGTAAATGGAAGTTCATGTCATACTTTATGAAGTGAACTGCTTGTTATAATGAGCTTTCTTCACTGCTCCACAAATGATTATATCAATATTTCTTTCATAACACATCTCCACTGAACCTTTTTTTCTTAACCTGCAAAGGACAAAGATGCACAGATACATTTCTTCCATTAAATTCTCTCTCTTCAGGATGAAGATTGATTTTTGCGCTGTTTTCTTCCCATACCTGGTCGAGCCAGACGTATCAGAGATATGTAAACGTCATGGCAGTCTCGTTCCTGAGGGATCACCAGCTGGATGACCTGGAAGTTCTTGCAGCGGATCAGTAATGGGCATCCAGTGGCAGTTGTGGCTTGCTTCTCAATAGAGGAAATTTGACTGTGGAGAATCTGAGGGGAATTGAAAAGAGTTTTGTTAGTCAAATCTTTAAGAAGAAAAGTAATTATTTATGATGTGCCAGGGCAGGCACAGTAGCTTCCACTACTGTTTCAGAAAACCCTCACACTCCTCCTCTTGTAGTTTGGTTCTTATCTTCCAGCTTCAGGTTCATGTAGCTTGATACATCACCTGCAGACAAAAAGGAATTTCTGGAGTGTTTCAGCTGCTCAAATATTAGCCTGCTCATGTTATCCAAAGCTTGTTGTTTGCTTTATTGTAAGCTAGTGGCTGTCAAAGCTCTTTTCATCTATTGGCACAGTGAAAAGATGAACCAGCACCAGTTACATAAGGCTAAAATATTGTGCCTCCTCATGGGTAGAATTGTAATGCTGATATAGTTTTAAATATTGCATCAAATCAGATGAAACATTACAATAAAAAAATCTGTTAAGGAATAGTGGGATCAAAGGAAGATGGAGTTAATGCAAAAATGGACAAGGGGCGCTTAATTAAGCTACATAAAAGATTTTCAAATGTATGACAGTAAGCAAGAGCTGTACACGTGTGCTGGTTTTGGCTGGGGTAGAGTTAATTTCCTTCACAGTGGCTGACATGGAGCTATGTTTTGGATTTGCACTGAAGATGGGGTTGATAATATAGAGATGGCACTGTTATTGCTCACACAGAGCCAAGGCCTACTGCAGTGCTGTCAAGAAAACAGAGTGCATGGGGGGCTGCAAGGAGAGACAGCCAGGACAGGTGACCCCAGCTGACCAAAGGGATATTCCAGACCATATGGCATCATGCTCAGTATGTAAAGTGGAAGGGAGCAGGAAGCAGAGCACATTTGGAATGATGACATCCACCTTTCCAAGCCACTGTTACTGTGATGGGGCGCTGCTGCCCTGGAGATGGCTGAACACCTGCATGCCCATGGGAAGCAGAGAATGCATTCCTTGTGTTGCTTTGCCTGTGTGTGTGCCTTTTGCTTTCTCTATTAAACTTTCTTTATCTTAGCCAATGAGTTTTCTACCTTTTACCCTTTAGCTTCTCTCCCTGATTCTGCTGGTTGGGGGAGTGAGCGAGTGGCTGCATGGGGCCTGGCCAATGGCTGGGGTTAAACCACAAGAAAATGCAATGTATGCTGTCAATCAATCAAAACAGTTAATTCAAAATACTTTATAAAAAATACTTTATAAAAAAAATAAAGTATTAAACCAACAAAAACACTGACTCAACACTAGCAGTAACGGAGAAGGCCAAGAATTGACAGAGCCAAGGAAGTAGCTCACATTCAAGGCATTTCTCTTTTCTTCTTCCTGGATGACAGGAGCAACAGTGCAGTTTACAGCAGCTGTTCCTCAGTCAATCACATCTGCTATTCATACAGTGAAGGCCCTTCTACTCCTCTTACTATACTGTAATATCTAGAACCCACTGAAAATTTTTGAAAATTACTAGGCTGGAACTTCACATGGCCTCATAAAAGCACCCATATGAACTAATTAACTACTTTTAAAGTGATTTGGAAGTAATTTTCAAATTACCATCACTAAAGTGCCGTGCACTTACAGCTAACTGAAATAGTAAAAATTCATACCCAGGTTTCTTTGCGAGTTTCAGAACCATTCTCCACAAATATGACATGGGTAGCTGTTAAATATAAGGTTCCCACCACGGCTCTTCTTGAAGATAAACGATCAAGTAACCTAACGTTTTCCACCTATACAAAAAAGTGACAGAGGAAAAAAAAAAGAAACAATTAGGCTATGACAGAAAGCTCAATAGTGAGAGATCAGTGTTCACATTTTGTCTATTATATCAAAGAAGTATAACCATATGAGAAAATGTCATCATATTATGTGATCTATTTCCAGATTTGCTTAATGTTCCTTTTTTCCCCTCTCTTGTGGTACCTCTGTATCCAAAAACGTGTTATTTAATGCTTCTGAAGACAATTTCTCACTTGATTTCTTCCTTGTGATCTCATCTTAGCAAGACCCTATGACAGGAAGGCAGGGCCTGTCCTTCAGCTAAACTCTAGCTCCATTCAAGCAATTCCAGGTAAATTAAAATAATAATAAGTAGGAGATAGTGGTGAAGTGTCTTTCTTCAATGGGTCTCAGTCAGGCAAATTTTCTCCCATGCAAATCTCTGCTAAGATTTAAAAAAACATTAAAAGAGTTTAAAAGAAACATTTTGACGTTGGTCCCTGCATTCCTGTTAGGGCTGACAGCAGAGGTCACCAAGTTTTTGCCTTCAGTAACTTTTCAATGGGACTCAAAAACTCCATTTCCACTGCTCTCCTACCTTGGGCACAAAATGGGTATTCTCCCTTTGCTGCACTCCTGACAATGGGAGAGTCCATACCACGTTACTAGCTCTCAGATCAACAGCTTATGACTTGTACATCATTAGTATTTTGTATATGGCATGTGCTATAGGCACCTATTAGGAACTAGATGACCTTTAAGGTCCCTTTGAACACAAATCATTCTAGGCTTCTTTGATTTCTGACTGAGAAACTAGAATAATAAAAAACTCAACAAGTTGGATAGTCAGTGGGATATAACCTGCCCAAAACAGTTACCAATTTGCTACTATGGATTTGATGGATCTCCTAACACAAGTCTTAAAACTAATATTAGTTGATTTTCCTGCAAAACATCTGAATGTCAGCATCTCAGAATTACATGTTTGCAATGCAGATTCCAAATACATTGCACTATTTTAAAAACAGTAGGAAAGAAAACCTTAAAATGAAAATAAGCCAGTTTAGGAGCAAAATGCTTAAAATCAAGCAATTATTAAAGCAGAGTCATCTCCCTCAAGGCCAGTTATAATCTGTTTTAAACAAAAATAAAGCTATTTATTTAAACAAAAAAAAACCTGCTAGAAAGCATGGATGAAGTCTTTTCCCAGGGCCATCTACTTCAGAGGTCATGTATTGGCTTGAGAAGGAATGGAAGAAATGGAAGAAATGGAAGAAATACAGTATTAACCCAGAAAGCATTCAGCAGCAAGCAAAAGAGGAGGGATCACACAAAAGAGAAATGAAGGCAGTGCCCTTCTGAAAGGAACCCATAAAACCAATAAAAATCAGCATTGTCTGGATGAAGAAAGGTCCCTACACTGCAGTCCAGCCAACAAGGCCTCTGCTGCCCAGGCACTGATCTTGCACAAGGCACCCATCACCCCCTCCAGCCAACCAAGTGAGCTATGGGCCATGAAACAAGCAAAGCAGGCACCCACACAGTGGGACAGGGCTGAGGGATGAATTTCCCCACTCATCAATCACAGCCCCATGACTGAAAAATGCTAACCAACAAAGCTCCTCTTTGGTTGTGGGTTTGGTTTTTGTTTTTGTTTTTGTTTTTTTTTAATACAGAGATACAAATAAATTAAAGGTTGGATCTGAATGAATTGTTGCAGTAAGAGCTGTGTGGTAAGTCTGATTCCATCAAAGCAAATGCAGTGGCTGCACTGGGGAGATCAGAATTCACCTCTCCCTGCAGTTTGTCTCCCAAGAACAGACAGTTGCAGCAGCTAAGGGAAGAGTGTGAGAGGCAGGCATGTACTCATGCTCCCTTAGGATCTTCGCCCAGCTCTGGGCCTTCCTAAGATGAGGTCACACTTTTTAATAGCCACAATGGTGCTTACATTCCATTAATTTTATTAAATAACATTTTGCATATCTGTAATTTATTTGCATCCATAACACCCTGTGAGTGAACTTCCCATATCAGCTATACATTGTACAATAAAGTCCCTTCCTCCTGCTCTTTTTGAATCTGTCACCAGTAATGTGCCACACGTGCTGTTACAGGTCTCGTGTTCCAAGAGTGAACAGCCCAACTTTACACAGTTGTGACCTTTATGGAAGCTATTCCAGACAAGCTCTTCCACACTTTTGATTATTCTGCGTGAGGTCTGCTTCCTGAGAAAAGGCCAAAAGTGCAAACAGAATTCAAAAGTTGGATGTACAACAGGTTTGTGTAGTTTGTGTAGAGGAATAGTGATGTTTGCTGTTTTGTTTTTTATTTAGTTTTTAGAAGTTCTCAAACACTGCTTGCTTTTTTGTCCTCTGCTGAACACAGTGGGGTTCGGGTTAGTTTAGAGGGTTTTTTTTGTTTTGTTTTTTTTTTAGAAGTAGCAATTGTAACTCTTAGTCATGCCTCCATACATAAACGAAGATCTACCCCCCCGTCTATTATCTTATATTTATTAATGACAAATTTAGTCCATCAGTATAATGAGGCATTGCTCAATCTTAGATTCCATTCTGCTGATCAAAGGATTCAGAGAATGAGCCTTCTTTCTTCTTCTGCAGTCTCCCTATCAGGAAAAGTAAGCCATGTCCAGCAGTGTCTTTAAACCTAGAGAGTCTGGGAATAGAGGGGATCGGAATATGTTCATTTCCACAAGAGGGGAACACACATTGCAACAGTAATTCGGAAGAAGAGGAGTTTTTCTACCTAAAAAGTCACAGCATGCTGAGAAATCAGCATTAATGGCCAAAATTCATATCAGAAAGAAATAATAATTATTTTTCTTTTTTTTCCTATTAAAAAATGCTCCACTTTTTCACCAAAACAACTGTAGACTTTATTGGAGAATGTAGGAAATTATGTATGCACTGACACATGCCAGGAAAAACCATAGAGACCATGCACATGTGCTTCACCTAAAATGAACAGCTGGTGTGAGAGATCAGATCTGAAAACACAAGTCTGTAAAGCTGAGAGCTGGAAGACCACAAGGAGTTAAAAGGAAAGCATTATCCAAGGAAGTCTAGAGAGGGGCATCTAAGTAAAACTTAAAAAAAATAAATAATTAATTTAAAACTCTTGACTATCTTCTTTTTTTCTTTTTTTTTTTTTTTTTTTCCTTTCCTGATGACTGTGGTTGTCTAGGCCTAAAGAAAAGACCACCAGGAGATTTATTTCAATGACTTATAATTGCTTACATGGAGATAAATAAAGTTGCCCAGAAACTCTATTTCCAATGCAACACAGATGACAGAAAAAAGGAGGCAAAAATAGAAGTTAAAGAGAACACAGATTAAGAACAGATGAAAGGCACTTTTTACTCAGCAAATAAACATGACAAATAACTTACAAGCAAGGTTGCCAGGAGGTCATTCAAGAAAAAAAATGTCATATTAGGGAAAATCATGGGCCAAAGTTTTATTCAGGCATAACTCCCACCAGTTTCAATGGGACTCCCACCTAAGGAAGAATGGCAAATATATGACCCTGAAAGCATTTGGAAAAGTTTGCGTGCCAAAATGTTATTCCTAAAAATATTCATGTACCCTAATTTGTTTTCATTTTTAGTTTAGATAACTTTTTTGAATAAGCTTTGACTGCACGACCTATTTTTGAATGCTTTTTTGAGTATGCTACTTTCATCCTCACTTCTTTAAGCTGTTTCAGTGTCTCCAAACATGTCAGCATCACAAAACAACGCAGAAGTAACTGCTACTATTTCAGGCTGTTCACAGTTCCACATGGGAAAGCTTTTTCAGATAAACGCAGGATCCATCTGACTGCAGGCTCAGACTGAGCAGGGAAAGGAGAGAGAAGCAAAACTGCAGGGCAGATTAGACAGAACTAGAGCTTCCTCTCACAGCAAAGCTCAAGTGCAGCACAGACATGCTGTCTGACACCAAACGGTCTCTACTGTAGGATTTTCCAATAAAATGAAATTTTGAATTATGAAAAAAAGAAATCTCAAAGGGCTTTTTCTCACTACATAGGTTTTAAGTCTATGTGTTTGCTTCCTATGCATTAGCTAACCTGAAGTCAAAACACTTGAACAGCCAGTTCTGCCATGGTCATCACTGACCTGCCCATTATCACTGAGAATCCTGAAGAAGCTGAAAAGCCCATTTGTCAGCCAAGAACAAAAGAGATCAGCTCCCATATCACCAAGAGTTCCCTGCTCCTTTAGGAGGAACCCTGACTAATTCGTCTCCTCTTAATTCCTTAGCCCAAGAAGGAGAAAGGCCAGAAAACCCTCCCAGCCAGGAGAAAGCTGCCAATTAAAGGTAAGCAGGGAATACCCTCACTCAGGCCACATCCTCAGGAGCTTCTCTGCTCTTCACAGTTGAAATTCATTGCTCTACAACAAGCTGTGAAAGCAAGTTTCATGTAAAAGCTGATAAAGTACCTTGAAATTTGGCTGTACAAATGAGTTTCAGTGATTCTTGAAGGATAAAGGCAACTTTCACAAACCTCTCTGCTGCTGAAAAAGTTGACTCGAAGCCAAGGCTGGGCCCTAGGGGAACACACTTAGCCCTACAGAGGCTTCTTCTTGTCCATCCTCTTGGGCTCCTAGACTGAGCAGGGATTTCTGCTGCCTTCCCTATGCTCCTTATGAGGTTACACACATGAGTGAAAGCAAGAAGAAACTCCATCCTTCATGACGGGATTCTCACTGGCCTCAGCACTGCAGGCAGACAAAAGCTAAGGGAAGAGCTTGTGAAAGCCAAGAGCCTGAGTCTAATGAGAAAAAAGGAGCACAGCTGGTGTGGTTTGAGGCCAAGTGGAATATGTGAGCTTTCTTCACCCTGGTTGACCTCAACCATCCATGTGTTTAACATAATTCCTGAGAGTGAAAAAAGACAACAAGTAAAAGACCAAATGCTATTACTTTTTTTCTCAACACAAAGATAGTAGTGTTGTACTTGTTAAACAAAATATACAATAAGTGATCTTTTCTGCATGATCTTGGAGAAAGAATAAAAGAAAACTGAATTGCCAGTTGATGCTGCCTTTTCATGTGGTTTCTATTCTCTTTCATAAGAATCATAAAAAATGTACTTGACGAATGTTACTCTTTTATATTTCCCTCTCTGAAAAGATCTCCCAAGTGCAGTACAATAATGCACAGTCTATGAAGTTAGATAGTTGCATATATCAAAAGACTCAAACAAAGCCAAAAGTTATTAAATTTAAGCGAAGACACCTTAAGATATGCATTGTAAAGTTTCCTCAGGGCAAATCTGGCAGGATGGGGAAAAAATACTCAAGAAAAATCTAAACAACTTTAATTTTCTAAAGGATTAAAGTGAAATGGAGGAAAAAAGCTGAAAAAAAAGAATAAAGAATGATTCATAATAGCAAGACAGAGAACAAACTACCTAATAATTTGGCTTTAAAAAAGGAAACTATTGTCTGCTAAGACAATAAGATCTATAAAGAGAGTGAGGTCAGCACCACATTAGCAGACACACCTGAGCAGCAGCTGCAAAATGGGAGCAGTAAACAAGAACCTATTACAAGAGTATAGAGCACTACAATATGGTGTCAACATTGTCACACAAGGCTCATACGTAAAGTTTTCTCTTTCAGTCAGTATTAGAACTCATTTATCTAGAAAAGGAGAAGAGAGCAATTAAAGTATTCTATTAAAAATCCTATCTAAGAGCTTTAATTTAGAAAAAAATAGGGCTTCCTGAAGGCAGTAAATACATTTGCCAAATTTGTTTAGATTTGGTTCTGAAAAGATATATAGGGAGAAAGAATTTTGCATGCAGCCAAGGGATACTGAAAAGAAATAGATCTTGAAACTCTCTTATTTAATGCAGGCTTTTCTGTTACATGTTTAAAACCATGCTCTGTTCAGCAGCCTATTTTAGAGCAGCAGTACCAAGCCATTTCAGCTGTGCAGGCCATGAGAGATTTGCATCAAAAATGGATTTGTAGGACTCCCTTTTCTGGTGGTAGGGACCTGTCTTTCTCAGCAGAGTACACCTGCACAGCAGGAAATGTCAGTGTGCATTTTCTGTTGCAAATAGATGATTCCTTTAGTTTACAGACAGCAATAACTCAAAAACCACCCACTTGGGCCCATTAACAGCAAGCCTGGATATTCCAGCTTTGACCACCCCAAAGCCTAACTTCTCAAATCCTTCATTCCAACCTCAGTCTCCTACTATGTATAAAAAAAAAACAAAACAAAGAAGACCCTGCAAACATACTGTCTTAATGATTTTCAGTACTATTTTTCAAGTGGAATAAGGCTTAGTTAGTTGCTTGGACATTAATACCAAGACAACAAATTTAAATACGAGACTACCCATGATTTTTAGAGCTTGTTTTGTGACTTTATCCAGCTACCTCTTTATTGAGTGTCACATTGAAAATATGAAGGTCAGTGTGATCATCTGACCATTTTTGACTGAACTGAGAATATGACTAAGATTTTGTTTAAGTCAAAACTCACATTAATAAGAAGGTAGCTTGATGACTCTAATTCAAAACAAATATTTTATAGCACAATTCCAAACAGATATTTTAAGTCCAATCCCATAATATGTGGACATTTTCTGCAGTTCCTGTTTTCATTTTATCCACCTCCAGTCTGATGTTACCACAGAACATTTTCTGGCATAGTATACTACAAATCTCACTTGTATTATATTTACCCTTTGGGCTCAAAGTTTCACAGCACAAAGATGGAATAAATAGAACCCAAAGAAAACTAAATTACATTCTAAATAAGGAAGATCCATTAATAAGAAAAAATCCATAACTCACAAAATCAGAGTGAAATGTGTCCAGGATTAATGTAGATGTTTTAATGCATCATTTGACTAAAGTAGTGAAGTAGAATGACATATTTGAAGCCATTAAACATTACTGGACCCAGAACAGCCAGAACAATATTTAACCATGATGTAAAGTGAGAAAACAGTTATGAAATTAGAAAACACCAGCTGAATTATAAGACACACTGCTCTAAGCTGTACACTTAGAGGAAAGTACAGAAACCACCTTCACACAATACTCTAAAAGCAGAAAATCAACTTGGCATTTGAAAGATGTTGCAGTAATGAGTTTGCTGTAACCTGATTACCCAAAACACAAATAAAAGGCAAAGGCCATGGCAGCCTCACCTCCTCTACCTTTTCTAAGTAGCAAACTAAACAAAAGCTTAGCCAAACTCTAGTACTGCAGTGAAGAGCCTGTGGTACTCCATTCCCCATTCCCAGTGGGGGAAACATCCAGTCCACACCCCCAGGTGTTTCCCAATATCATCTCAGGGCTGCTCCCATTTTTCTATATAGCTGAAATAAACCTAACCTTTCCAAAAGGAATTGTAGCTTGGATACAGAGAACAAAAATATCACATCTTATCTCAAGAGAAGACACAGAGAGCAGTGGTAGAATATGCAAACTTACCTTATAAAAAAGGTGGAGATCCAGCAACCCAGAACATGTAGTTGGAGAGTAAAGACTGGGCGTGCTGGGTTCAATTTTGCTATTGATCTGGATAGACACCTGGACAAATATTTTGCAATTTACATTGTCATATATAAAGTGGATATAAATTATATGGGTTTCCTGATGGAGACTTAGTGAAAAAGGACATGTTATAAAACTTTATAAAAAAAGCAAGAATTATGGAAAGTAGATTGAAAACAAAAGCAAACACACATTTACACATGCTGGAAATTTATTCTGTGAAGCAATACATCTGGTAGAGAGATTTGTCATTAACGTGGGAGCAGATCTTAAATTCTGCCTGAGAGAGGCATCATTGAAAGGAAATACCTCACTGTAACATCACAAAAATGAAAACACTCGAGCAACTCAAGTCATCCCAAGTATTCTGTTAACACTGACCCAAAAGAACTTCTGGGCTAAGTCCACTGAAGACATTTAGTACACCAGGGATAAACTGATGTGCTCTTTATTATAAGGACTTTATTATAGGCCTGCTGCCAATATACAAACACAAATTATATGAAGAGTTACAAATAAAATAAAGGAACTGATTAGCTACAATGCATGAAGTTGCCCTATGAACATATCTACAGAGCTCTGTATCTATCATCCTGTCCATGGCCAGACATATCTGTACACATAAAGGCTCATAAAACATGCTTTTAATCTTCTCAGAAGTGTTGTTGATTTCTCTTTTTCTGAATGTTATGAGCTGTTTGTCATATTTTGCTTTTGGAGAGTTATCCTAAACTATCTTGCTGTTCAATCCAAACTCATGTCAGTCACTGGTTTTACTAATTTTTAATTTTTAAAAGGGTGTGTAAGTTAAATATAATTCTTTTCAGCAATGAGGAACGGTTTCCAACTCTTAAACTTAAATTGCAGCCTTCATACATAGGATGGCATTTACCTTGTGGAAATATAGTGACTATGTTCACACAGGTATACATCACAAA